ATACATACATGTGTGCTGTGTGGTGCAGCGGTAGCAATCTCGTCTAGCAATCTTGCTGACCTGCGTTCGAATCCCTCGCCACCAGTGGATGGTAACCCCGGCCATTCCTTGCGCACAGGGGATAGTTTAGAAGCAAAATAAAACAGACAGTATGTCACACCAATAATATCCATTGTAACAAATGGATTCAAACTAAAATTATTATTAAATTAATTATTATTACTCTCTCTCTCTCATACACCACACTATCTTTCTCTCTCTCTTCATACACACACACTCTCTCTCTCTCTCTTCTCATACACACTCTCTCTCTCTCTCTCATACACTCTCTCTCTCTCTCTCATACACACTCTCTCTCTCTCTCTCATACACACTCTCTCTCTCTCTCATACACACACACTCTCTCTCTCTCTCGCATACAAACTCTCTCTCTCTCATACAAACTCTCTCTCTCTCATACAAACTCACTCTCTCTCATACAAACTCACTCTCTCTCATACAAACTCACTCTCTCTCATACAAACTCACTCTCTCTCATACAAACTCACTCTCTCTCATACAAACTCACTCTCTCTCATACAAACTCACTCTCTCATACAAACTCACTCTCTCATACAAACTCACTCTCTCATACAAACTCACTCTCTCTCTCATACATACATGTGTGCTGTGTGGTGCAGCGGTAGCAATCTCGTCTAGCAATCTTGCTGACCTGCGTTCGAATCCCTCGCCACCAGTGGATGGTAACCCCGGCCATTCCTTGCGCACAGGGGATAGTTTAGAAGCAAAATAAAACAGACAGTATGTCACACCAATAATATCCATTGTAACAAATGGATTCAAACTAAATTATTATTAAATTAATTATTATTACTCTCTCTCTCTCATACACACACTATCTTTCTCTCTCTCTCTAATACACACACACTATCTTTCTCTCTCTCTCTCATACACACACACTATCTTTCTCTCTCTCATACACACACACTATCTTTCTCTCTCTCTCTCATACACACACACTATCTTTCTCTCTCTCTCTCATACACACACACTATCTTTCTCTCTCTCTCATACACACTCTTTCTCTCTCTCTCATACACACACTCTTTCTCTCTCTCATACACACACTCTCTCTCCAAATTATTCATCATGTACTGTTGTATTAATATATGTACTGCCTAATTATCTTATATCCTTTTATGTACTACTGTAGTGCTGGATGTACTTTTATACTATTTCTCTACTATTTATAAGCTTTGTTATAAATGATTATCAATGTATTGTTATTATAAGTATTACTCTCATGCACACTCACACACTCACTCCCTCTCATCATCTCCTGTATTCTCTCTCTCTCATATCATATCATCTCCTGTATTCTCTCTCTCTCATATCATATCATCTCCTGTATTCTCTCTCTCTCATATCATATCATCTCCTGTATTCTCTCTCTCTCATATCATATCATCTCCTGTATTCTCTCTCTCTCATATCATATCATCTCCTGTATTCTCTCTCTCTCATATCATATCATCTCCTGTATTCTCTCTCTCTCATATCATATCATCTCCTGTATTCTCTCTCTCTCATATCATATCATCTCCTGTATTCTCTCTCTCTCATATCATATCATCTCCTGTATTCTCTCTCTCTCATATCATATCATCTCCTGTATTCTCTCTCTCTCATATCATATCATCTCCTGTATTCTCTCTCTCTCATATCATATCATCTCCTGTATTCTCTCTCTCTCATATCATATCATCTCCTGTATTCTCTCTCTCTCATATCATATCATCTCCTGTATTCTCTCTCTCTCATATCATATCATCTCCTGTATTCTCTCTCTCTCATATCATATCATCTCCTGTATTCTCTCTCTCTCATATCATATCATCTCCTGTATTCTCTCTCTCTCATATCATATCATCTCCTGTATTCTCTCTCTCTCATATCATATCATCTCCTGTATTCTCTCTCTCTCATATCATATCATCTCCTGTATTCTCTCTCTCTCATATCATATCATCTCCTGTATTCTCTCTCTCTCATATCATATCATCTCCTGTATTCTCTCTCTCTCATATCATATCATCTCCTGTATTCTCTCTCTCTCATATCATATCATCTCCTGTATTCTCTCTCTCTCATATCATATCATCTCCTGTATTCTCTCTCTCTCATATCATATCATCTCCTGTATTCTCTCTCTCTCATATCATATCATCTCCTGTATTCTCTCTCTCTCATATCATATCATCTCCTGTATTCTCTCTCTCTCATATCATATCATCTCCTGTATTCTCTCTCTCTCATATCATATCATCTCCTGTATTCTCTCTCTCTCTCATATCATATCATCTCCTGTATTCTCTCTCTCTCATATCATATCATCTCCTGTATTCTCTCTCTCTCATATCATATCATCTCCTGTATTCTCTCTCTCTCTCATATCATATCATCTCCTGTATTCTCTCTCTCTCATATCATATCATCTCCTGTATTCTCTCTCTCTCATATCATATCATCTCCTGTATTCTCTCTCTCTCATATCATATCATCTCCTGTATTCTCTCTCTCTCATATCATATCATCTCCTGTATTCTCTCTCTCTCATATCATATCATCTCCTGTATTCTCTCTCTCTCATATCATATCATCTCCTGTATTCTCTCTCTCTCATATCATATCATCTCCTGTATTCTCTCTCTCTCATATCATATCATCTCCTGTATTCTCTCTCTCTCATATCATATCATCTCCTGTATTCTCTCTCTCTCATATCATATCATCTCCTGTATTCTCTCTCTCTCATATCATATCATCTCCTGTATTCTCTCTCTCTCATATCATATCATCTCCTGTATTCTCTCTCTCTCATATCATATCATCTCCTGTATTCTCTCTCTCTCATATCATATCATCTCCTGTATTCTCTCTCTCTCATATCATATCATCTCCTGTATTCTCTCTCTCTCATATCATATCATCTCCTGTATTCTCTCTCTCTCATATCATATCATCTCCTGTATTCTCTCTCTCTCATATCATATCATCTCCTGTATTCTCTCTCTCTCATATCATATCATCTCCTGTATTCTCTCTCTCTCTCATATCATATCATCTCCTGTATTCTCTCTCTCTCATATCATATCATCTCCTGTATTCTCTCTCTCTCTCATATCATATCATCTCCTGTATTCTCTCTCTCTCTCATATCATATCATCTCCTGTATTTTCTCTCTCTCTCATATCATATCATCTCCTGTATTCTCTCTCTCTCATATCATATCATCTCCTGTATTCTCTCTCTCTCATATCATATCATCTCCTGTATTCTCTCTCTCTCATATCATATCATCTCCTGTATTCTCTCTCTCTCATATCATATCATCTCCTGTATTCTCTCTCTCTCATATCATATCATCTCCTGTATTCTCTCTCTCTCATATCATATCATCTCCTGTATTCTCTCTCTCTCATATCATATCATCTCCTGTATTCTCTCTCTCTCATATCATATCATCTCCTGTATTCTCTCTCTCTCATATCATATCATCTCCTGTATTCTCTCTCTCTCATATCATATCATCTCCTGTATTCTCTCTCTCTCATATCATATCATCTCCTGTATTCTCTCTCTCTCATATCATATCATCTCCTGTATTCTCTCTCTCTCATATCATATCATCTCCTGTATTCTCTCTCTCTCATATCATATCATCTCCTGTATTCTCTCTCTCTCATATCATATCATCCCCTGTATTCTCTCTCTCTAATATCCTCCCCTGTATTCTCTCTCTCTCATATCATCTCCTGTATTCTCTCTCTCTCATATCATCTCCTGTATTCTCTCTCTCTCATATCATCTATACTCTCTCTTAGATCATATCCTTCAAGAATATACCTGAAAATGAAAACGAACATAGCAAAGAAATGATGAATTGGTTGACACAAGCACCCCGCGCCTACGACACAGAAGTGTAATCCTCTTCGATCGCGTGGAAGGGGGCTCAAAGGCTTCACTGTGTATATTTCACAACTAGCACATTCATACTGAAATTCAACCATTCATGTCAAAAAAAAAAAAAAAATCTTGAGATAAGCAAAACCATATAGCTGTTCCAGGTCAAATGACAGTGATCTTTAACATTTTACACCACCTTTCTCCAGTTGTTCTCAAGAAGCACGCATTGCTAGATGTAATGAGTGAAATACTTGACAGTATGCATAAATTTCAGGATCCGATAAAAGAAAATTGCGCAAATATGTCATCGTTTGCTTTGTTTCAAGATATCTTTTGCTGAAGCATGAACTTGAAGAATCAAAGTAACCGAATCTATGTGTATACTATAGTAGAAAACAAATTTACAAATTTAACTTTTCTTTATCAAGGAATTGTTCCGACTGGCCCTCCGAAGAGATTCATTCGGAGTAATTTTGAAGCTATATATATTTATATATAGCTTCCCTTTCTTGGGAGTCAATCATATATGAAAAGGCAAATAAAATTACAGGAATTATTTTTTTTTATCACAACCCAGAGACTTCTGAAGATATTTGTCAGTAAACCACACTGCTGTCACAGGTCTTTTTGGGTCTAATATCTTCAACTCAGCACCCTCTCCTGAAGCCTTTCCGTCGAAGTATCTAACAACTATAGTTAATAATTTTCGTGACATTTTTTGTCTCGTCCACTTATGAAGAAATATACATTTTACGTTATTTGGTTGTATTGCAAAAGATTTTAATTTTCCACCTGAATTATTGTGTGTATTGTAAAAGGGTCTTCTGATCCATAAATCATCGTTCACAAATACACATTCATACAATTACTGTACT